CTGAATTTCCATAAATTATCATACATTACATAAAATGAATGGTATCGATAAAAAATGTCGGTGGCGGTAACCAAGTCAGAATCGATATATAATTTTATCTCAGAGAGATATATTTCGAATTTTTTGGTAGAAAAAAATGTAAAAAATTCATCGTTGTGTATGTCGAAAGATTTGCCAGTTGCCGAGGTCAAGAACAAAACTCTTTCGCGATAAACAGATAAGAAAATATATAAGGAGATAGTTACAACAAATTACAAACATGTGCTAATAAACCAACCAGATGAGATAACGTCCAGTTGTCAATTGAATTATATATTTTATATATATATATATATATATATATATATACAAATATAAATATATAATTCTACTGCGTGTTATGATACTAACTAAGGTGACTTTTAGTTAGGTACGCATTTGCATCATAAATACGTCAATTTATCATATATAACAGGATTTTTTTTTAATTCAATTTGTTTATACAAGATCAATTTTATACAACATTGAACAATGTCATACATGATCAGTTTAGATAAATTATTATCAGTATTTAAGTTTCTAATAATAAAAATGCATCAAATATAGATAGGTCAACCATTGGGTTGCCTTCTAAAAAGTGACGTTGTTAAGAAGTTTTATAAAAACTGCTCGAAGAACAGTTTAGTTCAGATTCAAAATCATAATAATAATAATAATACTAAATAATACGTTGTAGATTGTTGTTTTATAATGTTATAGTAACTATTGCAAATGATTCAGTTATGTACAAAATTGCCAAAAATATTTTTATAGTCGACAGATAGTTTAAATGTTATAAATTATTTAATGAAGAATTAATACTCGATATTCATACAAATTTCATTTTTTGTAGTCAATTATTTTAGCAATAAATTAAATTAAAATAATATATGTAAATTGGAGCAAATTTGCTCCAAATTAGGTTAAGTGTGCCATGACATTGGTAATAAAGAAACAGAAGAATGTATAGAAAATATCTCATACAATCGATTCTAATAAAATCATCATACAATTACATAGTATTGATTTTAAATTGAAAATACTTTAGTTATTTATGGAATAACTAAAGTAAAATAAATTTCACTATTATAATGGGACAAACCATAGTCTCGAAACGTTTGGAACTTCAAAATGAATTTAATAAATTTTTGCGAAAAGAAGTGCAGATAATATTCTTTCCACTCATAAGATCATCATAAAATTAGTTAGTTTTAACTTTGTATTTGATATAAATAAATTGTACTAAATTATTATAAATCACCTTCACGCTCTGCAAAATCCTTTGTCCTCGAATTAAAATTTATATAAAATTAGCTGATTCTAACAAAAACCACGAAAATCATCTTTGGATTTAATTAGATTAACGTCTTAATTGTAAAATGCATATTATGAAAAACAATATATAGTAAACTATTAAGAAATAAGCAAAATTTTATTTAAAGCTTGTTAAATGATTCATAATAAAAATAATAATAATAATTAACCAGAAAATTTTAGAGATGAGTTTTTAGCACCTTAATATGTCACTTTGAATATATAAAAATAGTGCATTTGGTTTATCATTTATTTAATTTTAATTGTGTTAATTGAGGTTAATTAAAATATATACATTTATATAAGTCAATGTTTGAAATCTGATCAAACTATTAAAAAAAATAATACAAGTAAAATCAAAGATTTATGCAATTTTTTACCAGAATATAAAAAGCTTATGATAAGAAAAATTTACTTTTTATTTATTTATTATTATCTCTGAGATGCAGCTGAATTAAAGAAATCTAGAAAATTGATCAAATTTGTAGTCAGAAAATATTATATCATTTTAAATAAATTGGTTTCAAGATTTAATAACCTATTGACAATGCCTTTTAGGCTCAAAATAACAATAGAATTAACCCAATAATATTTCATTTATAGAATTAAGTCAGTAATATTTGTTCTATCTTATATAGGATATCTATGTTAAATAGATAGTTGTATTTTCACTGATTTAAGGTCTACTGCAGAATATGAGAAGCCCTTATAAAAATCATTATTGTACTATTATCACGCCAATTATTATATGTCTACACAAGACATAAATAAAAAAAATCTAGAATAATGTCCAAATCTCAAGATATATATATATATATATATATATATATATATATATTAGTATATATACTAAATAGAAATGTTTTTGCGTCTATTCTATTCCAATTGGATGCAACATGTGTCTAATAAAAACGAATTGGGAAGTTTTCCCATTGAACAAAATTACCATAACAGGCTTTTTTGTATCGTCTTCATTTTAACGGAAAAAATAGCAAATAATATCGAACAGCAAATAAATTGTTAATCGTCCATGCAAATAAATTCGTCATTGGTATTCATTTCCTACTTGCAGACATTCGAATCGATTAAATAATCGAATTTCTTACGTTTACTGACGTTTGTTTTTAGAATTTTATTAGAAAAGTCGTGAGATAGATGAAATATATTACAATACATTTTAATAATTAAACCACTTCTCATAAGCCTATAATATTTTAAGGGCTTCGTTTTGACTATCAACACTATCACCATGCTAGATGTTAATTATTTAGCAGTTGTAACAAATATAGTAATTAAAAAATAACTATCACCATGCGAAGTTTCAACAAAATCTCAGAAAAGTAAACCTGAGATTTTCCTTGTTAGTTAAATTTAGTAGAGCAGATCTTTTTATTTCATAAAGTTTAATTTTATTAAATTATTTAATATTCATCATTAATTAAATTAATTAAATCATCATACTACGAATATCATTTTAATGTAAATAATATCCTTTGTACCCTTTTTTATTTAAATTTATGTCATTGTTCATTATTATTACTGGATTTTAAATTATTTAACAGTTGTAATAAATATTGTGATTAAAAAAAATAGTTAAAATTAATTGCAAAAAATAGCTGTATGTTATTTGTAATTTCAACAATGTTATATTTTAAAATTAAATATAATTATATTTAAAATGAAACTTTTATTAGTATTTTAAATTTTTATTTTTGTCCTGGTTTGATTTGCTGAATAATGACACAAATCTAGTGTCGAAATAGCGAGCAATTATATTAACTTTTCTTCGAATTTCATATTTTCAAAACTTTTAGGTTTAATTTAAAATCTACATTTTTTATTTTACATTAAAACTTTAATAATAATTACATCTAATAAAAACTTTATTTGCAAGGTAAAACAATGAAAAAATTACATAATATTTTACTTTAATTAAATTATATTTTTATTAATTTAAATAAAAACGTGTATAACTAAGTAAATATATTCATTTACTTAATTAATTAATTAATTCCAATCAATATTGACAGTTCTTTTCATAATTTAATAAGATTGTTGTTCATTGTGATATTTAATATTTAGCTTATTAATTCAAAGAAAATATATATTTCTATTTATATAATTTCTTAGATAATAAAGTAACTAAAAAATTATTAATTAAATCTAACTAAGGTAAAAATTCATCTCAGTTAAAAATTAAATTTGATAAGAGACGTTTAGAAATTCCAAATCGAAACGTAGTTTATATAATTGCTCATTGTTTCTTTCAATTTTTTATTATATATACATTATTAAAATTGTTATTAAATTATATATATATACATTATTTTATTACAATTGCGTCATAGAATTTATAAAGTGCCATATATTTTATAATCAATAATATAAACAATCATTTCATACGGAAGCCACAAATCTATGAAAAAATTTAAAAAATGGGTATGTCCAATATTATGATAGTATATATATATTTAGCACATATATTATACATATGTTGAATATATGTATACATTGGAAATTTGTGATGCGAATTAAATATTCTAAAATTCCCCACACATGGACTTAATGAAGTTAAAATTATAAATAAGCGTTTCCATTTCGTTTGTTTACATCGAAATTTTTTAAACAATTGACGTATTATTTAAATAAAAACGATCATAGACAAAGGTGATGTAAAATATATTGTTAGATCAATACTCTATATAATTTAGTTTAGAAGAAAAACGCTACATACATAATTTAAATCTGATGAAAAAAATTTTTACACGCAAAGCTTTTAGTAAGAGCCCTAGTAGTAATTTTCGTTAAGTTTTTTTTTTGTTTGTTCGATTTTTGAGTATTTCAAGTTGCTCTACAATGTTCTACAATATTATTGTCTATTTAATATTAAACAGATTTGTCAGATTTCCATTTATCTAAAGCAAATATTTCAAAAGTTACAAAAAATTTGATAAATAAGTGCACCTTCGAAGCGTTTTTCTTTAATTTCTGTTTTCAATTATTATTTCAAAGTATACCAAATCACTGTAAAGTCTCAAAATGTTCTATATTATTATAAACTATTTAATTTTATACAACTTTGTCATATATTTCATTTATATAAAATAAAAAGTTTAAAAGATACAGGAGATTTCATGAATAAATACACTTTTATCACACTTGAATTAATTTTCTATTTCAATATTGATTTTCAAATATACCAAGTCGCTGTAGAGTATTACAATACTCTAAAATATTATAAACAATTTAATTTTATACAAATTTGTCAAATATTTTATTTGTTTTAGACAAATACTTTAAAAGTTACAATACATTTTATAAAAAAAACTATTTGCTCCAATACCACATATATTATTACTAAAGTAAATTATATTTAAATAAAAATTCAGAAATTGTGGACGAATATGTAAAATAAATACCAATTGCATATATAAACGTATTATATAATCGAATCGCTCTAAAACTATTATAAAACTATCTTTTTATCATTTTTTTTTTTTAAATTGCAATGTGTTTCAATGAAAAAAAATTAAGTAATTTTGAGAATATAATTTAAATTTTGGCGAATAACCAAATTTTGTCCATTAATAAGTCTTATTAATTTCGATAAATTAAAATAAATAAATTGCGCAGTCTTAACATGATATAATAAATTGATTTCTTATTACCTTTACTAATTTCCAAATTCCCCGAGCAATAGAGCTCCCGACGCACTCACTAACAAATAGGATTAAATATTAAATATAAATAACACTATTAATTAAATTAATAATTAACACTAAATAAACACTAATGTTTGAATAATTCTAGCGAGTGCTAGATCCAAAATGAAACCTGAACTCGTACGATATATTATTATATATTAGAAACGTCCCGAGTAATCATCTCTCTTATCAGTTGAACGAAATTGCGAAAATTTTGATATAGACACGTACAGATAAAATATTCGATTTGTTCATTTTTGGTCCATAGGAAGGATAATTTAGAATATTTTCTTCCAGGCATCAGAAATAAAATAAAATAAAAAAAAAATTGCGGAACCTTATTACTTTTTTTGAAATTTTTATTACGATTTTGGTAAAGTGCTCGCCGAGACCTTTCATTTGATACCCCACATACATTTTTACCATATAAAATCATTTTGACCCAATTTGACCCACTGTACTATTTTGAGTTTATGGTGCATTTATTTACTAAATCCCTTGTAACTTCTACACCACTCGTTCAATATAAATGGTGCATTTAGTGAATTTGTACAAAATTAAATGATCTAAAACATTTTTTAACATCACAATATCCTACAACAACTCTGTATACCTTAAAATCACGATTAAAAACAGAAAAATAAATTGAGCATAAAGTATACTGATTTCCATAGAAATGATGTAATTATTCAAGACTTCCACCATAATGCGTGTAAGAATTCTTGGTATGGAAACTAGTATACTAAGTGCATTTATTTACTAAATTTCTTGTAACTTCTAAACCATTTGTTTGATATGCATGATGTATTAAGCGAATTTTTACAAAATTAAATTATCTAACACATTGTCTAAAATCGCAAGTACCTAGGGCAGCTTGGTATATTTTAAAATCTAAATTAAAAAACACTTCAAGGCTCAGAGCATTTACTTTCTACATCTTCCATGAATCTTAAACCGTTAGATTAATGTGAATGATGTGTGTGAAGTAAACTTATTTAAAATTAAATAATTTATAATATTTTCTAATATTATAAGACCCTACAGCAACTCAGTATATACGTAGTTATATTTTTAAAATTTTATTTAAGAGCTTACTGACAAGAACTTCAGGTTTACCCATAAGGGATTTTGATGAAACTTTGCATAGTGGTAAAGTAAATGGTTAGAACGAAGCCCTTAAAATATTATAGGCCTGTGAAAAGTGGTGTGAATATAAAAATTAATTAAAAGTTCAGAAAAATAGGCTGCTCAATTAAGGTGAAAAAATCTCAATTTTTAGAAGAGTCAACTACTTCAATAAAGAAATTTTCTTTCATATTTGGGTATTTTTATGTATAATTAGATAAACATTTCTAGCTGTCTTTGGTTATAAATAGAGATCGATCGTACGATGTCTTTTTTTATCTCTGGCTTTAGCAAATGCACTCATCAAATGAATTATGTATATTATCAGTCGAATGTTAGATTACCAATAAAATAATCTTATCGGGAATTTATTCAAAAGCATATGTTTTCATTCCGAAACTAAAAACGTGTTGCCATACACTTCGGCACTTACATCAGCCTAATAATAACAAACAGATAATTATAATTATATATTATATATACAGACGTATAAAAAATATTTTTTATGAGTTCTATGAACTGTTGTGATGATTTACTTAACTAACTACGTTTGTTTTTAAATAAAAAGGCAACCCAAATGGTTGCCCCATCTCTAAGAGACTATTGTCACTTAGAAATAATTGCTGTCACTACTACTTGATATCAAACTGCTCGAGATAGGTATCGAACCTGCAACCTCTAATTGAAATCCCATTGCTCTAACCACTAACCCACGGGCCCCATAAACTAATATAAATGTATAATATATTTTTAAATCCCATTGCTCTAACCAACAACCCATGGACAATCCCCATAAATTAATATAAACGTAGAGAATATTTTTGAGTAGAAACATGTTACTATCTATATTTCCAAGTGAAACCAAAAGTATCATTACTGTTTGACATCAAGCTGGCCTGGACAGATATCGAGTCTAGAACTAAGATTGATTCAAATCCCATTGCTCTAACCACTAATCCATGGGCGAGCCCCATAAAATAATATAAATGTGGAAAATATTTTAAGTAGAAACAATATATTGCAACTTATATTTTCAAGAAAAAATCGATGTCGCTCCTGCTTGATTTCAGGCTGGAGATCAAACTTGGGATCCCAAATCCCATAGCTCTAACCACTAACCCCCGTGAGAAATAATATAAACGTAGTGAATATTTTTAAGTAGAAACATGTTGCTATGTATATTTTTAAATAGAACCAAAAGTGTCACTACTGCTTGATTTCAAGCTTCCCCAGACACATATTGACTAAGACTTAAATTGATTCAAATCCCATAGCTTTAACCACTAACCCACGGACAAACTCCATAAAATAATATAATCATATAAAACATTTATAATTAATACATACCCTGTACTATTAATTCCCAATATGATATTTTTTTCTTTACAAACACATTTTGTTTTCACTTTTATATTACTTTATAATATAAATATATTGTTTTTTTCAATAGCGATATTCAAAAATAATAATTATTATACACTTTTACTATTAATCACACTAAACTTCTAATAATATTAATTTTTATCTGAGAACTTTGCAAAATTTTGCAAAAACAATTTGAATGGAGCATTTTTTTAAACCTAAAAAATAATGACCCATTAATAAAAAAAATATTTTATATCAATTATTTTGGGAATCAGACTTTTTAAAAATAAAATTTAATTTATTTGTTTAAATTATTGAAATTTATCACTGTATTGTGAACTGTTTTATTTAAAACATTTTTAATATTGTATATTATTTTAATAATTTTTATTTAAAATAAAAAACGTGTTATTTTTTTCTCAATTTATTTTTAAATTTTTGAAAAAAAATGTGGCTCTAAATATTCTTAACAAAGTTAAACCCCGTTAAGACGATCATAAAAAATACAATTTCTCTACTCTACGGAGGTCTTTTGGCAAACTTTCCCGCTTAAGACGTGTTTTTATCCCCTGAAAATCGTTTTAACGAGATTTTACTGTATTTATAGTTTATAGTTTATAAATCGAAGACATTTCTATAACTTTAAATTTGTCAATGATAAATACAATTTCTTCAATATTGCACCACGCTTTATAAGTTTTCTCGCTTAAGACGCGTTTGGACACAAAAATATCGTCTTAACGGGGTTTTAGTGTAATTATAGTTTTAAATTTGATTTTTATAGTAAATTAATCACCAAGATTTTATACATTTAAAATTTTAAATATTCAAATAAGCAATTTGTTTATCATTTCCAAAATTTTGTATTAAAGTTGATTAAGGTTTAAAATTTATTTTATATTAATTTTTAAAAAAATGTTTTTTTGTATAACAAATTAAATATTTTAATTTAATAAATAAATAATTATTTATATTTTATATATAATTTATAAAATACTATTAATTTTAAATATGCTTTTTAAATTTAATTTTTTGATGATAAAATTATATTAAAATTTTGTATTATATGTGCAATTTTGGTTCCAGATCATAAAAATTACAATTCAAAAAATTTCAAAATTCTTCACCTTATACTTTCAAAACATCACCTTATACTTTATCATTATAAACAAATATTATCAGATACAAAATTTTTATTACTATTATTTTTTATCAATTCGCAAATCTGTCCGCGTTCCGTTTCGCAACTGTTGTTCTTACAATGGCACTTCGGTTCGAAGGCATCGCTAGAAAAAATCATGCGATCCGTTCTCTCTCTCTCTTTCGCACTCGTGCAATTTCCATAGCCGGCGTGCGAAAGAGTCGACACATCGCGCGATTTCGTGCCCGAAGTGGGGGCACGAGATAGAGTAATTTGTTCGCGGAACTAACAAAAGGCAGATGATGATAAAAGACATTGTGATGGTACAAGAATTTTGTTAGATTGATTTATAATAGAAGAAAAAATCTATTTTAATGTACTAGTTTGCTGTATTTTTGACTAAAATCATCGGTTTTAGTATTTGTTGTTACAATTGACACACTTGGGGCAAGTTGAAACAATAACCTTTTCTTCATTTTTTCCGAATTTTCAGGGAAATTTGTCCAATGCTGATAAACTGATTGCAAATCAGGTGCTTAAGTAAAAGGAGTAGCAAACAAAAAATATATGAATAGTTTACTCACTGCAAAGCACACCACATATAAATGTTCCTTAATATTCTTTGCAAGTGCCAACTAAATCTGAAACTAATCTTTAAAATTGAATTGACACATTTAATAAATAATTTTTCGAAGTGAAATGAGTATTTTTCAATTTCGTATCATAAAAAAACTAAAATAAACAAAATTGTTCCTAAAATTAAAAAACAATGTTAAGGGCGGTCAACTTTTGATAAAAATAAACAGTATTTTGAAGTAAATAGAATTTTTATTAATTGTTCTATTAATATTTTTCAATTCCACATGAAAAAAATAAAATAAAGAAAATTGACCCCAAGGGGTCGTTTGTTAATCACGTGACCGAGATTTTTTGAGGATTTTTCGTCCCCTTCCCCCCTTGGTAATACGTAGTGATATTCAAAATTCTATCCCCCACCAAACATCAGGTGAAAAAAATTGTATTTTTTTTGAAAATCAGGTCAAAAATAAATACACGTTTCATAATTTTTTTGTCAACCCCTCTCCCTCCCGTAAAAACCTCATGTGATTAATGAATTGACGCCCCCAAAATTAAAAAAAGTATTAGCTTTGGATAACCCTTGATAAAAATAAATAGTTTTTTTTATTTTTAGCTTTTTTTAAGCTAAAAAATATAAAATGATGTCAATAATATTTAATGACTGAAAGTGGAATGAAAAACGATTGAATTTAATAAAATGGCTATATAAAAAATAGAGGTTGGAAATATAAAAAGTAAAAATCTACGGTTGTCAGTATTTTTTATTGACACAATTTTTAAAAAAGCAAACAAATTCGTCCAAAAATTAAAAAAAAATT